CTTTAAAAACTGAAAAATTATCTTTCTCTCCAACAAGTAAAGGATTTTAAGCACAGATTTACAGATGTACCCTTAGCTTAGTGGCTTACCTACACAGTGTATTTGAGTGGATACCTTGAGCAAGCCCCATGATACATAGTTGAGTAGTGTCTGTCCTTGTGGTGATTAAACCATTTCACCCAGTGTCACCCATCCAGTGAGACCACTTCAGATCGCCATATGTTACCACTATACCTAACTACTAAGTTCAAGTGGAAATTATTTACCCTTTTTAAATAACACTGAGCTTTGAAACCCAGAGTTAAAAGCAAGATTTCTCTGATAGAAAATGAAGTAAGAATTCTGAAGCCACTGGGTGTCACTGCTTGACTGCATTTTGGTGTAATAAATATATGAAAATCTGCAAGAGCTAAAAATAATCTGCAACAACTCTCAGTGATGCTTCATCTGGAAAATGCTTAATTGCTTGTTCAACAAACAGCATTTGTTATCAGTATCACAAGTACCAAAAACTTTCCACTTTGTTTGCAAAATTATAGTCCTGAAATACCATATTCATTTTGACAGGTTTATTTTTCTGTCAGCCTTTAAAATATAGAATGTTGTTTTGTAGTAAATGATTGGAAGAGTTTTGGAATACAGAGACTCTCCAAGGTGGGAGAGAAAAAAAGGATTTTTATATGAACAGAAATAACTTGCACTTCCTTCTTATCATAGAATGGCCTGGGTTGAACAAGACCTCAAAAACCATCCAGTTTCAACCCCCCCTGCTACCTGCACCAACTAGACCAGGCTGCCCAGAGCCACATCCAGCCTGCCCTTGAATGCCTTCAGGGATGGGGCATCCACAATTTCTCTGGGCAACCTACATTAGTGCATCTTATTTTAAGCATCTTCAGATTATCAGTTTGCTAAGGCATATGGGTTTTGAAAAAATAGCAGAAATCCTGAAAAACAAATGAAAATCTAGAAGGGATGTGATATTTATATGTGGTATTTACTCTTTCCATTTCTAGTTTTTCATTTTAAAGGTGGTGTTTATGTAATCTAAATGCTGCTGCTGGAGAGCAGGGACAGAGCCTGCAACCTGTAACAAAATCTTCCTTTGCAGTGGTAGTTTGAACTGAGCCAGAATGCATTTGTACCTTTACTGAAACACTAAATGGACACATTATGCATTATGCATATTATGCATATGATAAAAGGACGTATGAGGAAAAATATTAACAGTTTAAAATACTGTGAATCAGTGCCTTATGCAGCATTGTTTCGCGATCTTGAGGTATCGGTATCCCTGGCATGGTGGCATAGATGTAACTCAAGAGAGGAACTATTTAAACATGAAACAACACCAGCTGGAAAGATGTAGGAGCTGTACGGACAACAAACTCAGTATGCTTCTGAACTCTAACGTGTAAACTAGGGAACTGAGAAAGGGAAGAGATTGGCAGAGAGCATATGTAGGCAGTCACAGAATCTGCAGAGAAACAAAGCAGAGAGAAAAGGTGAAATGGTGAAACATGAAACAGTGCCCCCAGGAAAGGAAAATCCCCTTGGAAATTATAGATTGAGAATGTGTAGAGGAGAAAGACAGACTGAAAAAGACAAATTTGATACAGCAAAGGTTAAGGTACAGCAAAAGCATTCTGAAAATTACACTTTCAAGTGAAGGAACACCAATAAATACAGTAAAGCCACAAAAAGAAAGAAGGACAAGTAAGGGATACTTGTTTCGCTGTGTTGTGTTCCAAAATCTATGCTTTTCAAAATATTTCCAGTATACAGATTTAAGGGACATTTTTTGAAAATGCATTCATAATGTATTTTCATGATTTTTCTCAAAAATCTTTCTTGAACTTCTGGAACTGAGGATTCCAAAATTTAATGCAAGACTTCTGCCATTGTCACAAGTAAATCTCTTTCTTACAGAGACACTGTAACCTTTCTTCACCTTTTCTGTGTTCTCCGGATTTTTCAAGGAACACATTATTTTCTTCTCCATATTATCACATTCATCCTCAGTGAATACTTTCTTAATGGTTTATGCCTATCAGATTTAAGAGTTCTCAGGTGTTTCAATGATGGTAAAATTTTCCCAGAAAATTATTTGACATAAAAGATCCTAAAATCCTTAGCAAGGTCTTATAGTAATTAAAAGCAGATACTCACTGATTAAAATATAAAGAATTGCACATGTGCAAAATCTGTGGAATTGCTTGAGATATTCAAATTAGAATACTTCTCAGTAGGAAATTAATTTCAAAACTAAAAATTCACACACAAAATAGCCATTCAAAAACAGAAGAGTAAATACGTAGAAACAATAAATAGAAAGAAAGCAGCTAACAACTGTTTTACAGGTTCATGTAGTTTTACCTGTTTTCTGTATGGAGATATAAATATCTAATTCAGAATAGAACAAAAAGAAATTATTACAAACTGGTTTGGAAGTAAGAACCTACAGTTAAGCAATCTGTATTTGTTTTTTTCCTTTTTAACTGATGAATAAACTAGAACAAAAGAAAACCAAACGAAAAGCATTTGGTTTGCTAGGTTTTTTTCGTTGATTGTAGGAAGGGCTCCTGTTGAAAATCTGATTCGTTAGAGCCTTCATACTTTGTAAGGCCTTTTTTTTTTTCTGAGAAATTTAGAGTAGGAGCCAGTTAAAGACTAGTGTATTCAAAAATAAGAGCAAAGCACTTATAAATAGTGAGTAAGAACAGCCATTGGAGAAAAACATTAGAAGAACTGAAGAGTGGAATCCATGCAGCCAAGTGCAAGCTACTGCTTTCTAGGTGAGCAGTAGGGAAATTCGCAACATTCTGAGAAGCACAGGTCTTCCAGTCACTCCTTCCTGACTCCCCTGTTGGAGAAGGAGACCTTCCCTGCATAAAAGTGGCTCAGCATCAGAGAGAACGTGGTGCAGTGGGAATTAGTGCTGGCACCAGTTGCTTCGCAGAGAAAGCAGTTGCTTTCTCTATAAAAATGTTCTCATTCTACATATAAAATTACAGGAGTTGCTTTTTCTTCCTTCCCTGTTCACCGCCAGCCTTACAAATTCTATCTGGCTCCTAAAAATAAAACACAGTGGTTATTTAAATTTCCATAGACTGCTGTAATTTCAAAGGTTGTTATATATCAAATAGAGCTTGCTAAAGACCTTCCCAAGTGCACTGTCTTTGGACTTTATGCTAATTGATTCTTGCAGAATTGTTGCTGTTCTTTCATACCTTGCACTGAAATATCAAACTAGATTCAGTATTATTTGGATACTGTTTTCGTATTATTCTAGCAATTTTTGAAGTACAAGGTTAAATGTGATACAACAGCTGGTGTGAATTTAGATATAGTTGGATAAGGATGATGATTCTCCAGTTGTAGGCCAAATTTCTTGGAACTTTTCAGTAATAGCCTACATATCCACAGAGGTCTTTCTGTTTCAGACAACACACATCTACCTACATACACCTCACATATTGATCTCAGCCTGATTTCACAACAACCTCATTTTTGGTCAAGGAGTTAGCTAGCCATAGCTATACAATGCTTACATAGGAGTCAGCGTAAGCTGTCTCCATGCTTCTTTTAAATACATCACTATTGTTCTGCGCCCTAGGTTACACGAAGGCTTTCTCAGAAAGCTTCACATCCTGTTCCACCATGTTCATGGAAGCTGAGTGCCAGTGAACTACATTTCACTTAGAAATTAACTTTCAAGTCAGCACACGACCACAAGTTTCAATGCTGGGAAGAAACACACTTTGAAATTGCACACTCAGCTAATAATGGTGGAGGTAAGTGAAAGCAATTGAATTGTTTAGGGGAGAAAGATTTATGAGGAGAAATTTAGCTACAGCCTTAACTGGATAAGGGAAGAAATTATGGGAGGGTAACACCAACAGCACAAGTACAATTGCTCACAAAGCAGCAGACATGAACAATACGTGCCTTCTTCCTCTGAACACGAAAAGCAACATCTTTGTCTGAATTTAAAATTGGTCAGCCTGTCAGCTCAGACTCCTAAATCTTTATTAGCCCATTTTTCCTTCTAGGTTCCATTCCTGCAAAGCATTTAAACACATGCCTACTTTTAAGCACGGAAGAACTGCTGTTGAAGGCAATCTGAATTCCAAATTAGCCATATATATTTTACTACTCTGCCAAAGAGGAGCTTTGAATAACAGTATCAAAGAGTTGGATATTTTATTCCCTTTACATTGATTAACCTGAGATGAGTGTATGTCTCAAAGCTGCTGGAGGGGCTGCTCAATTTATCATCCCAACTATTGACCATCCTGTGTTCTTTTTGGATGGCAGTTCAGAATAATGTGACATCAGAAAGAGTGATTTATGGTATCATTTTACAGATTTGTGGAAGCGCCAGTCACTTATATACAGGCCCAGGATTTGATAAAAGCTCTAACACAGAGGTTGCTAGTATTTATGGTACAATATATCCAGAAGGCTTAGAGTTGCTATCATGTTGCCTGGTGCACTTTTCCTCTTGACTTTGAGATATATTATCCTGCTTGATATAGATAGAAAGGCTTGATTTGATGAAGGCTGCAGCATAATGCTGCAGTTAATGGCATGTTGGTAATTATTTATAAAAATCACTGAGGGAAATGCAGGAAAGGTGAAGCCTTGAAATACCTGGGCACAGAAGTCCTTTGGCCTTTTCCTTGGGACAGCTATTTCTGTAGCTCTGGAATAAAGCAGAGTGAACTTTATCCCACCACGTCTCTGGCATTCTTCCTCCCACATGTAGTGAAAGCAACTTTGCAAGCAGAAGGTTAGATGTGGCTTTTTCCACCTTTAATCCTTGACCTTTCATTGAGACTGCAACCAATTAGTGTCAATTGGGTTTTTTATTTTTTTTTTCTTTGTGAAAGCTGGAGACAGAAACCAGCAAACACCTTATACATAATAGAAGATGCTGCAAATGGCTTGTAGGCAGGAAGATTTTCAAAGGTTGATGGTCTGCACTTTTTTTTTTTTTTTTTTAAACTCCCTTGATACCAAGTGCTGGAATATAAACTCCCCTCTTCCTTATCTTCTGTTTTCTGCTCACGTTAATAGACGTGAAGACAATTTTGTGAGGACTTGAAGTAGCATTACAAACAGCAGCAATCTCCCTGTGGCTGGAGATGTCTCGCAGACCTTATGGAGAAGTCTTCTATAAAACATTTTGCAGAAATCCTGTCTCAATAGCACACATATCTCAGTTTGTGCCAGTGGTCCAGTTTACCCTTACTTTATTAACATTCCCATCATCAGTTTCACAGCAAAAGCACAAGTTCAGTGGATGTTGCTTTTAAACGTGTTAATGTAGGGGTTCCCTGAAACCAAGGGATATTAAATCCTGTAAAACCTGCTTGATTTTGTTGTGAAGGAAAGAAATGCATTTATACAACTCAGTAACTTATGTTCTGGAGGCCATTGACAGACTTAGATGGCCCTACTGAATGTGCAGCTGTGTGGAGATACTGCCTTCCTGCTTGCCAGAAATCCTGCAGTTCCTGGGAACAGCTCTGATGTACCTGCATTGTGGTCATGCTCTCTGGCACATGGTATTATGGCCTGACCTTCAAGAAAATTCTTCTTTGGGTCTATCAGATGGGATCTATTTATTGCTCACAAGCTAACTTTTGACCTTCATGAAGCAGGTGGAAAAGGAAGGTAATTAACATAGCAAAAAGAGTGCACAGCCAACAAAACCAATCAATAGCATACCTTTTTAATGTTCTGTTGCAAATATGAGCTATGTACCTTTTCCCCAAGAGACAGTGAACATGTTAAAAACAGTATGGGATGAATACACACTGCATACTGATGAGGGAAGCAATCTATTTCCCTCAAAATACATTTTACTGACTTTTATATACACTTTTGTGAAGGTCAACTTTCCATCATTCAGAGTCTGAAATACAGTTAAGTAATTTAGTTAATTTCATTATTCTAGATTTTTTTCTTAGGTTTATTTCACCTCCCCTCTCCCCCTCCCCATCCTTTTAGGAATAGCAATCCTGAAACCCAAATTAATTTTGTCTACTTATGCCAATAAAGACATAAGGATCAGCCCTTATGTTTTACTTTAATGAGCATTCAGATGATACTCTGTCTACTGCAGAGACTGCATAACCCTTCCAGACTCTCCTTCTGAGAAGAGGTAGTTTGAATTTGAATCATATAATGCTACCTGCTGTGCTTACTGCATCTCCAGAGCTAATGACTGCTATTTTTGCCCAATTGCTTTCTGCTTGTGTACTGTGTGGAAAAAGTTGCAAAGTGATTTTAAATATTTAAAGAACCAGGAAGAGAGCATATTATTTAATAAAATTATTCAACCTACTGCACTTCCACTGCATCTGAAGGCTGACAAACATTGTCACAACTTGTTCTTAAACAAAACAAACTAATAACAGGTAAACTACTTGAAAGCAAAAATGAACAAGTTTTGGGCAACCCAAAGCCCAAGTTGAGGTTAAAGTTAATGCACTAGATATAAGGAACTCTGAGCAGCAGGGAGGAAAGTGGGGAAAAGGTGAACAGCAGAAAGAAGAAAACATTAAAATACAATGTGTGAAACAAAAGGAAATGAGAGGGAATAAGCAACCAAATGTATAAACTGGCGTGTGGTTGTGTAATGCAAGGATTAGCTTGCACTGGAGAGAAGACCGAGATCAGAAAGCAAAACAAAATCATTAAGATCAGAGAGAAAGATGCTGAAGGAACAGGAGATTATGACAATATTAGGCAATGAAATAGAGAAGACTCGTGATTAAAAAAAGGAAGCTTTGGCAGGCAGCTAATAACAGAGGGGAAAATAAAAAGCAAATTCACAGGTAAAATAGCAAATCCAGAAAGAGAAATTGCCAATTGGGAGAGGGGATCTTAGGACAGAACAGCCTGTTCATGCCTAAGAAAAAGGACACATTCTCACACATCTTTCTCTAGTGGTGGCACCAATGACAGAAGTTGTGATATGAAAGATGAGCACAGGGATCACTTATGATTAATTTTGTGAGACAGTATATGCCTTCTGTGATCTCACATAAGTCAGTTTCTACCAACTGATGATGTTTGTATTACACTCTTTACTATATTCCTGCTCTTCACAAATCTTTGATTAATATTTGTCTTCCTAGGAAGCGTTAGTTGATGTTTCAATCCTTCTTATGAACTCATGATGCTTTTTTGCAGTAACTTGGTCTTGACCTAGCTCAGACCAACAGCCACTCTAATAACAACTTCTCACTGACAGTCTTTATTTCACAGACAATGTATTATAGAATCATTAAGGTTGATAAAGACCACTAAGATCATCATAGTTCAACCATCAACTCATCAAAGAATCAGTCAGTTTAAGCTGCTGAACTAAACCAGCTGCCACTCTATCTTACATGTGATGGAAGTGTCCTTCCTTAAGATAATTTCTAGGGAAAGATCTCTAACACCCAGGAAGTCTCTTTTAGGTTCAGCTCCTCCTGATGCTTTTGCATCTTGCTCCTCAGCAGGAATCTCACTCTGGAATTATGGCTTTGTAACCAACCCTAAGGAACTGGACTCTATTAAGTAGACCTTATTTACTTCAACTGTTTAAAGAGATTATATGCCATTTACACACTTTCCTCATCACATCCAGGAACAAAATTTACCTTCTAGACTGCACAGGTGAATATAACTGCAATAATTTTTAGACTACATTAAACTCAGCCAATATAGGGAACAGTTTGCTAACACTAACAATAGCTAAGGCTGTTCCTTGTTGCCATGATTGCCATCTGAAGGACACAAATGAGTTCCTGGCAGCCACCCCACACTGAGCACATATTCCTCCAATATCCAAAGATGCATTGCTCTGATACACAGCAAAATGATTTCTAGAATGGGCATCTGGCCTCAGCTGTTTCCATTTTTCTTCACTGGGTTCTCAAGTAGAGCAGGTGCTAAAAACAGCTGGAAACCTTTTTGGAGTGTCTTTAATAAACAATTCTGCCAGGCTCAGCTGCAGAGACTATCTGGCTGCTAAATTCCTTTCATTTGAAGTTTATCTAAAGAATTAGTAGCTGCCAAATAAGCATAAGACAACTGCAACAGGTGATGAGCATTTCATTTCTTGTAAGAAAATCCTCGCAGCCTGCTCCTCAGATAAAGACTCACCCCAAGTCACTTCTAGAGCTAGAACAAGGCATGTGGATTATGTCTGAGATCTGCAATTACTTTATGAGTGCTATTTAACATTTGCAGAGCGTAAGTATGCTGAAAACACTCCTTCCTGATGTTGGTTTGCATATTTTAGTCCCAGTTTTGTTAGCACTCTGCTGGAATATGCTAATGCCTTGATTAAGGAGCTTCAGGATTCTGCTGTGGATGAGCTGAGGGTTGTGTGAAATCTCACTGGTAGGAAAGGCCAAGCTGGAGCTGCACTGTGACTCTTCACAGGACTTCAAATTGAGTGCCAGCAAAATTCTTCGCTGGTTTCAGAATTATACGAAGGATTTAAGTAAAATGCGCTTTGTATGAACTGAAACTTTTTTTCCCATGGAGCTTTTACTATTACTCTCACTAGATATTTATATTCCAGTTGAATTTAATGCCTTGGTGTGGATCAAGTCCTGTAAAGAGGTACTTTTTCTTCCAAAGTCAAGCAAAGAGATGCAGCAAGAGGAACAGAGGGGGATACAACTTTACTCTCAAGGAGTTATATCCCTTGGATGGTCAATGTGATTTTAAGTTTCCATACTGCAGAGCTGCATCTCTCCCAGTGTGCATTACTGACAACACTCCATGCTTATATAGCTGCTCTGAGGCTCTGCCTTAGTACAGCACTGCTGGAGGAGAAGAGGTAAGGTAAAACACTGAGCCTCCAACAGCTATCTGGGAAATATCTGATAATGCTGGACATAACAGAAGGGTCAGGCCTGCAGTTTATAATAAGGACTTTGAAATCCTAACAAATTCCACTGTTCAAAGCGAACAGTTTGTAGCTCAACTGTGCTGGAATTGAATCATAAATAAATCACATGTTGCTGCAATAACACTGACAGTACATTCAGGCTGAATACTAGGAAAAAAATATTCTTAGAGTGGTGAGGCACTGCAACAAGCTGCCTGTGGAGATGGTGGATTCACTGTCTCAGAGGTGCTCAAGTGGCAGTGAAGGATGTTGTTATCAAGCATGGTGAAGGTGGTCTCACCATAGTTAGACTAGATTTAGAAGTTTTTTCCAACCTTAATGATTCTGTAAGAATGAGTTACTTCATCTTACATTGCATATACTTATATGTGTGAGGTAACACAAAGTTTTTGAGCGAGGAAAAAACAATGGTGGTGTAGTAAAAGTAATTCCTCCATCTGCTGCAACGCCAAGTGGAGGTAATGCAGAGATGGATCTGCAGGGTAGTTAGTAAATGGCAGCAAATCTGCTCCTCTTTAAACACTCAGCAAACCAACTATACTTTTTCTTTTCTAAGCATCAAGGAAGAAAAAATGGAATGTAGTTAGCCTAGGCAGACATGTAGAGTGACAGTGCAGATGGGAACAAGAGAGATACTATGTGTTATAAGAGCTTGAAAACTGGAGCAGCAATTCATTCTGCTGTGGGTCAGTACAAACACCAAGTTTCAAATTCAGAATATTATATTCTTTCTCCCTAGCTAATGTCTAAATGTTGCAGAGCTGAATACCAGCACTTAAAAGTGATTGGAGCATGCTTTTCTCCAGTTACTCAGTTAGGGCATGAACTAATAACACGGTTTACTGGCTTACCCAATCAAACGCTTCTGTATTTTACAGTTTTACAGGAAAAATATAAGAGCCATAAGTGAAGCTTAGACTGAGCCTTCTGCTTTCCTTGATTTCCTTCCACATTTCTTACTGTTCCTCACCCTACTGAGCACACCCACGCTAACCCGTCCTCCTCAGTTAGTTTTCTGTGACAGAGTATCTTTTCTGAGCTGAAACTATTTAATGAATTCATTGAATTTCTAAGCTGAAGATATTCCATGAGTATAAATCTACAAGTTTTTTTTGAATATCTAAGATTTACTTCCCAGAGGATTTACTATCAATACAAATCTGTTTGCTAGCCTCTATCTGTGAAAATATAATGCTTGAATAATAATTTACACAATAATCATTCAAACACGAAAAACAAATGTTTCTCCTGCTAAAAGCATAGGCCATGCAAAACTATTGAAATCCAAGCGGAAATTTTTAGAGAACAATAGACTGCCTAGTGTAAATTCATGTCAATGACATGAAAATCTCTTCAGTATATAAACTTTTTTAACTTAGCCCAGCAGTGACTTATTTAAAACCCCACTTCACTTAAAATGTTTGTTATTGTTAGTATGATATTCCTGATAACCTGTACTTCCACTACTACCAGGAATCCTACCAAGAATCACAGAATGGCCAGGGTTGAAAGGGACCTCAAGGATCACGAATCTCCAACCCCACTACCACATGCAGGGCCACCAACCTCCCCATATAATACTAGACCAGGCTGCCCAGGTCCCCATCCAACCTGGCCTTGAACACCTCCAGGGACAGGACATCCACAGCCTCTCTGGGCAGCCTGTTCCAGCACCTCACCACTCTCTCTGTAAAGAATTTCCCTGTCATCCAAACTAAATCTTCTCTCCCTCAACTTAAAGCCATTACCTCTTGTCCTGCAGTTATCTACCCTTTCGAAGAGTTGATTCCTCTCCTGTTTGTAGGCTCCCTTCAGGTATTGAAATGCTGCAATGAGGTCACCCCGCAGCCTTCTTTTCTCCAGGCTGAACAAGCCCAGCTCCCTCAGCCTGTCTTCACAGGGGAGGTGCTCCAGTCCCCTGATCATCTTCATGGCTCCCCTCTGGACCCTCTCCAACAGCTCCCTGCCTTTCTTGTACTGAGGGCATCAGACCTGGACACAGTACTCCAGATGGGGCCTCACAAGAGCAGAGTAGAGGGGGACAATCACCCTGTCCCTGCTGGCCACCCCTCTTCTGATAATTCTGATGAACTACCACAGTGATGTTAAATTTACCCACCAATTCTTTTAAGTTTTAATACTTTCAATTACCTATGCAAATATCATGCATAGAAACGAAGTAGCAGCTTTCTTTAAACAGACTCCTAGTTCCTTTAATAAGCTTACAGGATATTGAAGACAAAACATTAACAATAGCATAAAACATGTAGTGGTGCAGAAATCTCATTAGCCATAGATACTTGGCTTCCCCTTTGCCATTGGCAAATCCTCATCTACTTTCAATCACGTGTCATCCTGATAACAACTACAGGCATTATTTAATAATTTGGTTATACACACATATGAACTCCACAGACAATCTTGTTTGCCTCCTGGTCCTCTGCGTCACCTATTGTGCTTTGGTATTGTGTTACTGTTCAGGTGAATGCATACAGCTACCAGTGCAATCTTCTCATATTTGGCAGTAGACCAAAGGTAAGGGAAATGAACAATTGCTTTCGGAAATAATGGACTAGATATTCAGCTCAGCTGCTTTGATTTACGCTAGCTGAAGTCCTATTCCAATATCATCAGTATCTTCAATCAATCAGTCTTTATTGCCAATCCTTATTTTGTCACAGCAGCTACATGATAGCATAATCTGTATGCTCACTGAAAAAGCAGGGCACTCACATGAGCCTCTGAATACAGGTAGTGTTCTGTTAATGGTACGTAGAAAATCATCCAAAATTTGAAGTCAGTGCTTTTTCTTAATGAAGTATAATAAATACATTTTCTGTGGTATAGATTGTGAGAACAATGTCTACCGTTATCATTTTGACAGGAGAATGAACATTTTAGAGGATAACTTTCGAACTCAGTCAAGTAGCAGAATAATTTGGATTCATCATTTACTTCATGGCTGTTTTTCCTATCAATCACTAATTAGTGAAGATGGATCTTTGTAAGTGGGTGCTCTTTCCTTACGCATATTTATTTTGGGTTCTATTGATGTGAAGACCATAAGCCTTTGTGAAAGTTGTCTTTGTGGGAGTAGTTACCATGGCAGAAACAAAAGGTGACAGTAACAGGAGATTCAGGTTAGAGAAAAGAAAAATCCTGTTTGATGTACAAGTGTTTGGAAAGAGCAGAATCACATATAACAACAGAAGGTAGGCTAATGCAGTGAGGCCATTGCACCGACTGTGAAACTTGCTACTGTTACCTTTGAGCGTAAATGAAAATGGCAAGCAATTTCCACTTAAACAGCTTTTACTGTTTTACATCTTTTAAAGTGGTTAGCAGCTATCATGGGCAGACTCAGTGCCTGAGATTATTCTAGTTCATTCGTAGAACAACAAAAACTCTAGTGTGTAAAATAAACTACCACCTTCTCCCCCCCTTTGATCAATTAAAAAGTAACAGTCTCAATCTTCTTACTTTTGATTGCATTGTTAGAGACTAGTAGAAGAGTAAAACATGCATACATCTACATTACACTGTCTATTGTATTTTTAAGTTATAGTACTTGCAACTGTAATTACATAAATAATACTCAAAAACACACATATTTGTGTGTATATATAGATATATACACATCTGTAAGTTGTAGAAAAAGAAAGCCAGGCTTACAGAATAAGTACACATCTTGTCTAATGGTTTATTTTTTACTGTAGTTTTAAGGGACCTGAATTATACTGGGAGAAGAGTTTGTGGGAAAATGACACTGCTTACTGTGAAAACACAGTTTTCTATAAGACCTCCAACTAGCTAGTGCTCTAAACTAAAGGTAGTCACAAGCATTGCTTCCTGTAGAAATCTTGTGTCGTTTCTGCTTAAATAGCAAGTACTTCACACTTTCTCAGAGAGATGATCTGCTCAGTGTAGCTGGGACTCAAGGACACTCTAACCACTTCCCTACAGCTCCCAGGCACCTCACAGGGCTTACCTGAGTTGCCACAGGTTATTTCTACCACAGAAATCACCATGTCTGCTGATTCCCTGATCAACATGGAGGACCTGTTTTACCTGTTAAAGCAATAGTCTGGCCAAGCAGCACTGCCACGCTCTACAGTCTCCTGATGGAAGCATCACTACCCTGCAAGAATGGAGAACTTTGTGCTGCCTGAACCTTAAAATCATGTGCAGCGCAATATGGATTAAAAAAAATACTAGCTTGAAAGATGCAGAAGAGCAATGTTATATCTGGTTGTGTTAAGATCTAACCTACCAGACCTATCCCTCCTGTTCTAAAGAGGACTTGTTTTTCCAGGTCTGTAGAAAGAAATTGGATACCATTATTTTTGCCTATTGACTGTTTTGTCTTTCTGGAATTCCTAATGCACATTTTGAAAGTCTCCATGCTTGATCATATTAAGTAATTAAGATATAGGTTATAAGATAGAAGGTTAAATGTACTTTCTCAGCTGCTGAAACAACTCATTACAGTTCAGAGGCTTTACAGATTCTGTTTATTTTCCATGTATACTGTTTCCCACACTTTACATACATACCTCAGCATGATAAATAGATGCAGTTCATTGTGAACCCTGTCTCAAGCCAGCTTGACAGCAATCAATCACTTTGATGAGACAGTGGATTTGTGGGGACTGACTGGCAACCACATCTTAAAGAATGCTTTGACAAACCACACACGGACACTGTGGCTGAAAAAAAGAGGATTTTAAAGAACTGACAAAGAGGTAAGCACAGATCTGTCAGGTCCTGTGGATTTAGCTTGGCTACAGGATTGACACTTTTGTTCTACCGTCACCTGGTAAAAAGGGCTTCCACAATTTTCTGCCCAAAAGCTGGGATATCTGTGTACTGTGTTTCACTTGCCTACCTGCACCTCACTACATGTTCAGAGCATTTCAGGAGATATAACAAAACATGACTGTCTCATACTTCTTTCTTTCACTGTTCAATACCAAGGAACTTAATGTATTACTCTCAGCACATTTTCTCAGGGCCAATTTGCTTATTTTTTTGATTAAATCTCCATGAAAAATGACTTTTAGGTTCAACACTTAAACAGAAAAATATTTTAAAAAACCTTGTTTAACATTCTTTACAGAAAGGAACAAATGTAGGAAGTAAAAAAACCTGGGAGAGAGTAGTTAGGTAAGGAGTTCTCTCCTTAGCCTAGAAGGCTAAGATACTTCACTGACTATTAACTTCAGAAAATATTTAATTTGAAATACAGAAAACAATAAGCAAAACAACACAGAGCATATTTCTGACCTCTTGCCCCACTTAACAGCTCAGCATACTGGATAAGCAACTCATAGGAAATGAAGATCCAAAGATCAAGGGTTTACTAAGAGGGAAAGGAGCCTGTCATCCTTCTATTTGTGTTAGTCAATTCCTTCTCTCTTAAGCTGCATGGCTGAGCAGATAATCCAGCCCTGGGTTTCAAGTCCTCTTTTATGGAGGAAAGGATTTTCCCATGAGTTTGTTACTCATAAATGGCATGAGGGCATTAATTACTGAGCAGTTGGAAGTAAAAGGGTTTATTTCTCCAATTTGTCAAATAGAATGCTTTAGTAAACATGAGAATAGGAGAGCTTGGAATCAAATTGGTGAATAAAATATTGACAAGAATAAATATCAAGTTTATTGTGTACAGTTATTTTGAGAAAATTAGCTGTTGTAAGTTAGTGCTAGCAGAAGGAAAGGGAAAAAGAAAACTGTACCTGCCAAACTCCTCACTCTCCAAAATAGTATGCTCAAAATGGAATAAATTAGACAAAATACCTCCTGCACAGTATAAATCTATGCAACTTGTCAGAGGTGTTACTTGGTCTCCATATGACCAATCTGAAAGAAAAGCTCAAACCACATTTCTCCCATCTGCTGATCACGCTGATCAATTTGGCAGGTCTACACAATTTCTAATACTATTCAAGAAAGAAGAGAAATGTGGCTCCAATGGAAAAGTAAATTGGCAAGTACTCTGGGGCAGATCCCAGCAGTGGAAATTGGTCAAGTTTAATCAGTCAGCAGCAGAAATCTATAATTCAAAGTGGAACTGAATTTACACCTGCCTGTTTCTCCAAATATTTTTTTGTAATAGCGTGGCTACAAAAATGTTTCTGGTAGCTGGGAGTTCAAATGAAAGCTTTTCTGATCTGGAGCTCAGGGAACTCCTTTCCTTCCTCTGTCCAATATTAGACTCAATTCCCATTAGATACTATTTGTGTAAAGTGGTAAGAAAGAGGAGATGCTATACAATTACAGCAATTTCTAATCTATTGTAGAATAATAGAGTTAAAGAATTGAGTTGAAATGGACTCTTTAAGGTCATCTGGTTCAACTTCCCTGCAATAAAAAGGGACATCTACAGCAAGATCAGGTTACTCAGAGTCTGATTCAGCCAGTCGTAGCAGTACTGACTCTTCCCTGAGAGTAGTAAGCACTCACATTATCACATCAAACCCAAATTAGCAAATCTCTCTAATCTGTTGCTCTTCTCTCTCTCATTCAAATTCTGTGAAACCAAAGGAGACACAGTTGTCTCAGCTTCACATCTCCTTCCCAATCCTATATTTGCTTCAACAGTAAATCAAACAAATCTCTTTCACCTCCCTCCTCCTGATGAAGCAATAGCCCTTTCCATTTTTAAACAGGATCCACTCTGTTTCAGCAGAGTGGCATTGCATTTATTTTTAATAAGCCCCTGCCTTGACTGTGTCTACAGCATCAAAGATACATAGGTGCTTAACATCTCTGAATTTAGTAATTGATTGGTGGCTGAAGGGCTCTATGGATGAGTGCCCAAGTGACCAATTAAGAAACTCATAAGCTTTTCATAATGCCAACAACTGCTGTTTTATTCCTCCCCCTTCTTGACATTTTCCTGCCCTCATGTTGGACTACGTTGTCACATTCAATTAAACTGTAAGCAGGACTTCAAAATTCATTTCAGCAGCAGACCAGAGATTGCACATTCACAATTTCTCCTTTACTCTTGGTTTACAGAGAGAACCAAACAAATTCAACCTCTTCTCACAAAAGTAGTAATTTCCCACCATACATATGAATGGTAGAGAGTTTAAGCTCTTGTGGATGGATTTTGCTTCTATCAACGGGCACCAAGGTAGAGCTGCACCCTTCTTTCACTAAGCTATGTGGTGCTGCCTAGCAGTAGATGCAGACAGATTTTATTCTTATGTGCTTAGCTGTTACTCTTCTAAATTGAAGCCTCAGAGGAAAAAAAGAATTATTTTCTACAATTGCTTATTAATATGAAAGGCACTGAAAAGTCTTTTTTTCAGGATAACTTTTGAAGACAGGTATTATTGACATAGTACTGAAAGTTGCAAACACATTTAAGCATTTTCTAAAAACACAGACAAGAGTTGTTCAAGTAAGCAAACTATATGCCCACTCTAGCTTTGTGATCATAGCAAATTTGAAAAGGACCTCTTCTGGTTCTCTGTAACTGCAACTGAAAGCTTTTTGCTCTGACTTGCCATTTACAAGCTAGTTATTTTCTTTATTGTGGTTTGGCTGAGTTATGAAATGAAATATAAAATGCATGAAAAATGGGCTACACACCTTATTTAAAAGTGTACACGTATGCCAAAAATCTGTTTCATGCATATAGCAATACGATGGGAAAAGTGTTACAACGGAGGTGTGATAACAGAAGGACTGGCACAGTAGAAAGGATCTATAAAGAAAGGGAAGAAGATTGTTCACCCATATGAGAAGATTCTAGGAAAGCTTCTCAAAAGAGGGATCTCCAGAAAGAGATCCTTCCCCAGTGGCAGTCAGCTCTTAAAAAGGGGTCTAAGAGAGGTGCAGCTCTACCCCTTCTGGTCACACAGCTGAACTGCCTTCACCTGTGCTCCCAGGGCTGATCCAGTTTTTCCCCCCAAGTGATCAATCAGTGGTTCAGGCTGTGACTCAACAGTTCCCATACAATGCATTATATATAAATTGAAAGAAACTGATCACAAACATATACTGATTTTCTTTACAATTACTAAGTAATTACTAAGATTTTTTTTTCTATTGACAAAGTTTAAGAATTAATTCTTTCCCTTTAACATGCTAGGATGCTTCCTCATGTGAAATTATCACTGAATTTACTGGTAGACTTCTGGGGAGAACTTTCGATAGACACATACATATTTAGAGAAGCAACTGTCACACTCATGACAGAAACCAGCAATATAATGAAAACTACGCCCAACTAAAGCTCATTAAATGAAAAAACTCAAACTACTCCTGATTTTGTAAGGCTTTCAACTTTAAGAACTGTTACAGTTCAAAATCAGATGAATATAACGCAATGGAAAGCACATCAATGTAATGACAACAAAGTTCCAGGCTACAGCAAGCAAGAATTTACTTAAATGCAACAGAAACAAAGAAAAGAAACCATTTACCTTTATAAGACCTCAGGTATGGAGGAGTATTCAGTAAGAAACCCCTACCTCCCTTGCCAACCCTTAAATGAAATCTGGGAAGGGGTGCATCCTAGATCCACTCCTGCTCACTCAAGTACATTGCATGCAGCTGAGCTCCCCTGGTTAGCAATGCCTTCCCACCAGGTGCTCAATCACTGTTTCAGGGCAATGACTTAGCATTCCTGCTACAAGAGTAATGCTATACTCTCTCAAGGAAGACAAACGTAATAAAGTAATGATTCAGTGTGAGTACTGAGTGATCATGGCCTTTATAGCTATATCCAAACAAAACTGAGTACAGACCAAAGAGATACGGTAAAAAGAGAGGAAAATTATGTTGGAGGAAATAGATCCAAAGAAGGTGCAGAAAACAGAATAAAATGATTATTAGTTGCTTCAGGTCTAATAAAGATAATTGAAGATACAAGGTAAATCATTCACTTTGTTGTTGTTGTTGGATAAAGACAAAAGCATTTCAATATGGGAAAAAACATGGTATCAGGTAACACTGAAATGCTTTCTCAACAGCCTGCTTAGCCAAATCTCTGGACAACAGGAAGTATTACAAAAATAGAGCACTGAGATTACTGCTCATGCAGCAGGCTCTGTCAAAAAATATACAAGAACAGTGATGGAAAAGTGGTAGCACTATTTGTTTATTGTTGCCTGCTAAGGATTAAATTATTGATTTATTTAGGCTTTTAAGGAGGAATACTTTCTTTTGCAGCTTTCTTAGAAGTATAAAAAACCTGAAGGAAAAAAAGACTTCTTAATATTCTAGAGAGGTTATTTTACTAAACTGTGAAATTCAGCACAGCCTAAACATGAGTGTACTTTCACTGACTTCCATGAACCTATGCAGAAAATAAAGACCATCAATTTTCTATGTTTTTAGGCAAAATGGCAGGAGCAAAGCCAAAATATCTGTTAAAATCAGATGTTACATTTTAGAAGAGGTCAGGATAGAACTGAATGTTCCGTTACAATTAAAGTATGCAAACTAATGACTTATTCTCTCTGTAGAAAAACAAACTGAGCGTGTCTTCTATTAATTTGCTTCCTACTTGGTCTTTGAGCTGTACCTGACAATCGTTGACAGTGTTATTCCATGTGGCTGTCTAAATGGCATTTCTTATGGGTTGACACGTTAAAACAACCAGTTTGATGAGATATATTTTCTTATGATAGAGCATGAACGCACACAAACTGATGGTAAATTAACTTGAAAAGGAGAACGATAATTTGAAATACAGTGAAATTGTGCCAACTTACTTGGCAATTGATAATCATTTCTAGTCCATAAGCTGTATAATTAATGGATATTAAGATGTTATAATCACAAAAAAGAACAAGAGAGTTAAGCAAAGTAGACTAAGACAATAAGAGAATAAATAGAAAGCTTACCTGTATGCTAGGCTCACCCACAAAAAACACCAAAAGAGAGGATCTCCAGACAAGATCCTTCCCTACTGGTAGTCAGCTGTTAAATAGGTCTAGGAGAGGTGGAGCCAGGCTCCACCCCTTCTGGCAGCACAGGTGAATTGCCTTCAGCTGTGCTCCTCTGGCTGACTCATGGCTCGCCTCAGGTGATCAATCAGAGGTTCAGGCCGTGATTCAACAGTTCCCATACAATAGGCACAACATATTTTACAAGCAAAAGACAAAACTTGTTTTGTGAAACTTTCTGAGAGCTTTGGTATTTGCCATCCAAAAATTAGTATTAAAAAAAATAATAAAAAAAAATCAGAATGTCTCTAATACAATAGGCCTAAAGATTACAAATAAATCACAATTCTGTAATCTAATTTGGAAGTGTACTGTTGCAGTGCAGCTGCGTCTAAAAATCCAATAGATCAGCAAAGTCTTAACATGGTGATTTTTGGGGGCGTATTTTATTTGTGTGTTTTGATTTTTCTTCTTAGGTTTCAAGAAAAATATTTCAAGCGTTCTAGTGAGTGGTTATAGAAACATAGGTAGGACATTGTAAATTTAATTCGATATTCCCTTTCCCATTGATATTTTTGTTGTTTTCTACTATGATCATAGAGATGCTCAGGAAGGAACCCGAAGTGGCTGACTTGCCATTCCTAACTTTAACTATGGAAATGGAGGAAAGGAAATCTGTGCGGAATAGCAGTAATATCTATGATGTATTATTGAAATAGTTTATACCGGATCCTGTGTATGGAACTGGCCCATATGAATGTTAATTAGCACAGGTACTCAGGAGCTCTATGCTATGCTTTATATTAGATTATTCTTCCCAGCTTACTAAAGATTTGTATGCTCAAAATATTTGAGTATTCTAACAATTTGCAGAACATATTCCTCTTCAGAAAAAAACCCACCATTTCTAACCACAGAATTTGTAGATAATCTGAAGGAGTCAACTCTTACATATAGTTTACAAAAGACTGAGAAAACTATAGCAAAACTATGTCATAATTAATAGAGATATAGTCAAGCGAATCATGTAATAACTTTGTTCTATGAGGAAAAAAACACAGAAGATAAATATTCTCAGCTGGATGCAGTATTTCTGGGTAACAGTATTACAGAGTTTTTAATTTAAAAATTATATTTTGGGTGATTAATATTGTCAAAAAGATAAATAATCTGCCTCAATATAAATAAAGATTTAGAAAATTGTACTTAAGAGTTTTACTCAATGGTTGTATATCACTGTCAGGTAGAGCAAAAACTCAGGGACTGAAGGCACAAAGGTCCGCCATGAAGCAGCAGAGTGCTGAATAGTGTACGGCACTCTTGCAGACACATTATTATTTGTTATTTGCAAATTAAGTTTCTTCTTTTTCTGTGTTGCTTTGACTGAAAATTACTTTCTCTTCTTTTCCCTCTGCTACTTCAAGTCCCATCTGCTCTGCTTTCAAATTGCTGCAGTGAATGTTATTTCCAGATGGGAGGGACAATCCAAGGCTCTGTTACGCAGCTGTGTGCAGGTTTTGGTCGCTTATCTCCTCATTTGAGTCACTTCACCTTGGTGCTCTGCATCACATTTTTTCTCAGAGGTCTGAAGAGCACAGTTAAAACTGCCCCTCCTTATTTGTCCCAGAGGCTGCAACTTGAAAAAGCACTTGAACACAGTCTTAAGTGTTTTGCTGAAGAGGGCTCAGGCAGACAGGAAGTTTCCTCTGCTGCCACTGAGCAGCTCTGCAGTGCTCAGTCTTGTGCTGGGAAAGGGAAGCCATAGGGAGAGCCTGATTATTCCATCCCAGAGACACAAAGCTGTGGATGCCTGTAGACACCTGAGAACACTTTAGAACATGGGTTACTAACCTTTTGCTTTCCTGGGCTGTGAATAGTGAAGAGGAATTGTCTTGGATCACATATAGAATAGATATTATAGTTAATTTTAATTTATTTTAATCAAACAATAAGAAAAAGAGGGCAACAAAACCAAGAATACTCTTTGCTAAATTGCATTTAATTGCCTCCCACTAAATGTATTGGAACAATGGAAATCCTAGTAAGAAAGGAGATTGATTTAAAAACAGACAGTGTTGACTTACTTGTATTCCTTGAAATCCACGTGGGTACTATCTTCTCTGCTGAGTAAAAGATCTGTTGGAAAACCTGAATTACTTGATTGAATTAAAGCAGCTTTCTCCTTGACCTCTCTGCTTAGGCTGTCAGCATTATTTTCTGAAAGCAGCTTGTTTTCTATCTTGAGAATAATGCGCAGTTTCAGCCCCCTCAGCAAGCATGCTTAAATGCTGTAATAGCTTGGGGCTGGTAACACTACTGTAGGCACTGGGTATGCAGGAGACTATTTCAATCCTTATGTAAATGGAGTAGCAATTCTGTGCTGTCTTAACCTGTCTGCAGCCTTCTAGCTTATCCATTGGTCTCTAGATACTCATACTCATGGCCCAGAATATCTGCCTTCAAAATAACCTCCCAGTCAGCCCCTGGAGAGGTTTAGCAAAGCCATGACACATATGACTCATAAGTAAATTTCTTACCTCAATGTAAGGCTCTGAACTGAAGAGTATTTCTGTATTTCAGGGGGTAAAAAAAAACAACAAAAGACAAACACGTCCCTTTCCCTTTCAGCTGAGTCCAATAGAAACAACATTCTTAAAATATTTTAAAATTTAGCAGAAAGTGACTCTGCAGCACTCTGATTACAAAAAAAAAAAAAAAGATATTTTTGTAATAATATGATTGACTCTAGGTGCCAGATTTTTAATTAGCATCTTTCAGTATAGAGGACACAGTTTTAGCTGTGTGCCTTAATTTTAATTTACTGCTGTGTATCTATGTTTACAGCTTGTTTTTACAGACTGAGAGAGTTGGGGCTGTTCATTCTGGAGAAGAGAAGGCTATGGAAGACCTGAAGACCTAATAGAGGCCTTCCAGTATCTATTCGGGGCTGTAAGAAAGAAGGGGACAGACTCTTTAGCGGGGTCTTTAGTGACAGGACAAAGGGGAATGATTTCAAACTAAAAGAGGGAAAATGTAGATTGGAGATAAAGAAAATGCTTTATCAGTGAGGATGGTGAAGCACTGGAACAGGTTGCCCAGAGAGGTGGTGGATGCCTCATCCTGGGCTACATTCAAGGACAGGCTGTGAGGAGCTCTGAGTAACCTGATCTAGCTGTAGGTATCCTGTTCACTGCAGGGGAGTTGGACCAGACAGCCTTTAAGGGTTACTTCTAACTCAAATGATCCTATGATTCTATGATATTCTGGCACTCTGGATGCTATAGAAGGAAGAACTGCCTTGGATTGCTACCATGAAACTCTATTCTCTGTTTTATACCTTCCAAATAACCTGACTTAATTCCCTACTTTTTGTGGACCGGAATCAATTAGCAGGGTTATAGTATCCTTAGGCCTTAACTCAGTGCACCTCATTGATTCTGCTCTGTTGTAAGTGAATTAACCTCAAGGAAACAAGTGTATGAGAGAGAGTGCGTTCAGTTGGATGCACAAATTTAATACTGATTTGATATGGGGAAATATTAAGAACACCCAATTTTGATCTACTGGACTAGAAACAGGCTTCTGCTGGACATGATTCAGTGCAGGCACCAAATTTTGGTACTCTTTTACTGCTAGAAAGTGTTTGTACCACCAGTGAGTAACAGAGAAAATCTGGGGAAGACCTGGCTAAGTTCAATTTGTGAATTGAATAGCTTGATTTGTTCAACTTTTTCCTGTAGATTTACAGGCTATGCCACAAAGCTGTAGGATATTAATTACAACAGACCTATTATTTGTCTTTGTATGCTGACAGATGATTGCGGAGCAGAGCAGATCAGGACAATACTCCCCTGGCCCAGCTGGCAGTACTGGGCATAATGCACCCCAGGCTATGGTTGGCCCTTTGGGCTGCGAGGGCATATTGTTGAATCGTATTCAACTTGCCATCAACAAGAACCCCCAGATCTCTTTCCATTCAGCTGCCCTCCAGCATCTTGCCTCCTGGTTTGGACGTATATCCAAGGTTGCAAACGCAGAATCTGGTGATATTTAAGGTCCCTTCCAACCCAAGCCATTTTGTGATTGTTTGGTTCTAAGCTTCTGTGATGTCTCCAAAGATGTCTAAATGTGATCACGTAGATCTCAGATGCCAGAACTGTGTCTTTATCTTCTGGTCTTGTCTGTGCAAGGACAGCAGAGCCCATGTAATTGGTGTCAATGACTCCTGACAGCTCTGCAGCTAAACAAGACCATACATGCAGAGAGTTTCAGATTCTCTCATGTTTCAAAGCAATTCTGCCAGACTGCTCCCTGCCCTATGTGTGTTATTGAGGACCTCGGGGCCATGTGCTGTCAGCTAGACTCTCACAAACTCACTGCTACTGAGTTTAAGCAGCCATTAGTCAGGCAGAGTGGTATTTTCAGGGAAAGCAGTGTTGATGGATTTTCTATTTGACATATTCTCCAGCAATTTCTTAACATTTTAAGATGAGATGATGAGTATGCACTTCTTGACAGGGTCAACGCAGTGGAAATAATGTATATCTGTAAATAGTCACGTATTGTAGGGATCTATGGTCCAAATGAATTAGATGCTCTTCTCCAATGCAAGTTGCCTCACAGCTTTATATTCAATAACATATTCAAGGCTGCATGCTCTATATACCATTAAAGTTCAAGCTTATATATTATTCCTGTTGTATATGTACAAACCAAGCCTGAGATTGCCTTGAAAAAAAAAAAAACAAACAAAAAAATCTTTATGAATAAAAAATGTTTCTTGGCTCCATTATGGGTTGTGAATTATTGATAATTTTAGAAAACACACTGAACTGAGCGAAAGGGGAACCATGGATAAAAAAAGTTCTCAGAAAAATTATAACACCTGATTTAGATACAGAAGTTGTTAAGCAAGTGTTGGCATTAAGAAAAAATAAAATGAAAAACCAAAATAAAAAACTAATTGCAGCATACTTTTTTTCCTTTGGTGTGGTTGCACTCTTCTAATACATGTTTTACCAAGAGATGCAGTTCAGTGACCAATTTCACTGTTGTGCAAAGTGGTAAAAAAAAATGGACAAGTGGCTGAGGAAAAACTCGGAAACCGTAACAAAAGCCTGGAGTGCCAGCGCCAGTCGGTGCAATGAAGAGACATGAACT